AGAATATAGACTAGTGCTTGGCCTAATTATCCTTGTTCTCAACATTTCCGCTACTTGCTTCTCAATTTCCCCTTTCATCAAGTGTGGTATCTATATGGTTGCACATTTACTGGATCTACCCCTTCCTTAAGGGGAATATGATGCATCATCTCCCTATTTGGAGGCAGCCCCATTACTTCCTGGAAACTCTAGAATGTAGATCCAGGATCCCCTCTAGCTCTTCCTTTTGCTGCCCTGTCAACCCTGGATACTCCTCTGCATCTGCCCTCCTTTCAACCTGACCCAAATCCCACACCAAGGTCCAAGCCTCTACTTTTGTCAGCTTCAGTAATGCCCGAGGTTTCACCAACCTCCTAGCCAAAGTAGGATCCCCCCTAATAACCACTTTCTTCCTCCCTTGTATATACATCATTGTCATCTCTCCCCAATTCAGTACCACTTCCCCCAACATGCCTAACCATTCCACTCCCAGGATTATGTCTACATCACCCAACTCAAACAGATGAAACCTCTCCTCTACTGCAGTTTCTCCCAAGGTAATACCACTTTATCACAGAACCCACGAGTCTTTTCCCTCTACCCATCACCCAAGCTCACCTGATTAGGTGGTGTGTCCTCTATGGGCAAATTCAGCTCCTCCACTAACCAACGACTAATGAAATTGTGGCTTGCGCCACTGTCTATGAGCACCAACACCTTCCTCTCTCCAATTCTCCCTTGCAGTTTCATCGTTTTAGGCTGGGTTAGCCCCTCAGCCAGAAAAGCGGACAATTCCATTTGTTTTTGATCAAATTCTGCTAAACCTTCATCCCCCTCCTCTTCTTCATCCTCTGCCAATATAACCACCCTTAAACTCCTCCCTGGGCAATGATGGCCTGGACTAAAAGGTCCGCCACACCTAAAACAGCGCCCCTCCTTTCTGTTTCAGAAATTCTGGATAGGGTAAATTTCTCACACTTCTTCCTCTGTTATCACTTCCCCCTACATTGCCCACCTTCGTCGCTCCACCCGTCACGCTTCCCTCTCTTCTCACTGATCCCACACTCTCAACGACTCCTGGACAACTCGGATTATTGCGAGTGGCTTCACTCCGGGTTACTGCACTCATCGCACGTCCCCAAGAAGGTGTATTCTTGGTTATATTCCAACTTCCCGTTCTCGCGCCGCCTGAAACCTCCTCGATATCCCTCGCAATCCTCACGGCTATCATTAACTCTTGTGGGTCGTGGGGTCTGACCTGATTCTGAACACTGTCTCGCAGTCTGGCGAGAAAATACCCAAGCATTTGTTCTTCCGGTACTTCTCGAGTTTGTCCCACCAATATCTCGAACTCTTGGACGTACTCTTCCACGGTACCTTCTTGTTTTATGGCAGCCAACCTCTCACAAAAAGGCCCCCTATTTCTTCCTCCAAACCTCCCGATCAACGCTCCTTTTAGGCCCTCCCAAGAACGGTTCTTGGCCTTTTCTTTCAAAAATCTAAACTAGTAACCCGCGCTACCCTCCATGCTAATGTAGGTTAGGCGAACTTTCTCTTCCTCCTCCGCCACTCCTTGCAAGTCGAAAAACTTTTTCGTCCAACTAATCCAGTTTAGTGGGTCTAGACCCTCGAAAATGGGCAATTCGATCCTCTTCCTCCATGGTGTTGATCCTTCTTGATGATCACCGCCTCCTCTCCCTCAAGTTTCTTCCTCGCGCCTTCTCTAGTTCTCATTAACGAAAGCTTGACTTCCATCTGACTGCCCCTCATTGTTGTGAGTTCGAGCCCCCAACATCTTCATGATTTCTTGCAGGTCATGGCGCACTGCCACTGATTCCGCCTTCATTCCATCCATGGCTATCTCCAGCGCTTCCAACTGACCCTCCACGACATTCAATCGGCCGTCCATCCTTCCCTCCAAACACTCTACTCGCCCAATTTGGATCCAGCAGGTCGGACCAAATTGTTAGGTTTCTAGGTAAGAAACCAAACCAAACAGACAATCCCACACTCACTATTCACACACAAAAGACAAAAGAATGGATTTCTTGTATTCAAAACTGGTAAGATACAATGTACAAGCAATCAATGGGAGCCTAACCTTCCCCACAGGACTAAAAGTTCCTATTAAAACAACTAACTGTCAAAAGTCCCCCTAACTACAGATCATAGCTCTATTTATACAATTCATTTCCCACCCATAGATATTAACTATCGTTCGGCTCCCGCTCTCTCCTCTTTACACCGTTTGGCCCACACCCTCACCTCCTTCCAACGTTCGACCCATGCCCTCACCTCCTTCCACCATTCGGTGTCGTCCCTTTCTTCACTCATACACTCTCCACTTCCTAACAACTTCTAATAGGACATTATAATATTGCACACTACTTTGTTTTTGGTCAGCCAAAACATAAGTTTATTATATCCAGACGTACAAGGGGCACCCACAAAAGACACTACAAGTGCCTATTACACTATAATAATAGGGAAGCACGGACTAGACAAAAGCACAACTGAAAAGAAAAGTGCACTAGGAACTCCAGTAAATTCCAAGAAGAAAAAATTAACTGAAAAGGAAAGCACTACCACCATACTACTCTAGGCACCTAATTCTAACTATTCACTTTGACATAAAATAAGGATAATTGAAAATTACCTCCCATCTGGATTATTTGGAGATGTCAAAAATATGCATTTGGGCTTCTCTTGTTTAACAACTTCTACGATCTGTTCAACATTCAAGCTGAAGTCTGGCTTCCTTGGAACTGCAGTTTAAATAATGTAGATGGTTATGCACATCTGACATGGCATAATAAGAATAGGTCAAAACACAGTAAGACAATCACATACTGCTGGGAAGACAAGGAATAATAAAAAAATAAAATAAAAGGGATGAATCAACAATAAAACCAAACATCATTTTAGTAGAAAAAGTCTAACAAAACAATAATGTAACTATGATCATGACATATTACCCACAATACAGTAATAACTATTGTTAGGTTTCTGAGTTAGAAGCCTAACGTTCTCTCACAACTCCCACTCACTCAAAGGCAATCAAACAAGAAAGAACAAAGGAATTGTATGTATTCACTGTAATGTATAACAAAATACAATAACGATTCGGGAGCCTAATCCCCCTCAAAAAGGTCCACGACCTGTTTACACAAAGTAAATGGCTAGCTGCCTTCTAACAATGAATAAAACACTATTTATACAAGACCTCCCATCCCGCCTTTCCAATCCCATCCCGCCTCTCCTAACTGCTATCTCATTTCCTCTTCCTTCTATCCTTTTACCTTAGATCCTATCATTACACTATGCTGCCAAACAACCTTGTCCTCAAGGTTGGAACAATGAAGTTTGAGCCCATGGCATTGTGATATGGTCTTATCATAGGAAGGGAACCCGCTGGCTACTACCTACAACTTCTGGTCTGGAGGTTTGGGTGGTGGCCGAAATGAGCGACAGAATTTATGGGACCATTTTCGTGTCTGCATTATTTCCTTTAAGGCGAGGAGCTTCTTATTCTTCCCTGTAAAATAACTTCTTCTACCGTTCGGCTCTCTTCCCACTATCTTTATACCGTTCGGCCAATGACTGGGAGACCGTTTTGACTGTAAGACCATTCGGCCTTTGACAATAATCGTTTGACGGTTCGGTTCCGACCATCCTCTCACGATCGGATTCGACGGTTCTCTCCCGTTCGAGTCTAGAAATCCTCTTCCGTGCGAATCTAGCAGTCCTCTCCTGTTCGGATCCGACCGTCCTCTCCTGTTTGGATCCGACAGATTCCGGGTGTTCAATACTGACCCCACACTCTCGCGGCTTCCGATCTGCCTGGGTGATTGGCCTCGGACCGCTCATCAACTCCCGATCTGCCTGGGTGATTAGCCTCCGACCTTTCGACGACTCCCGATTGGCTTGGGTTATAGCGATTGTCCTCGGACAGTGTCACCTCACCACTTGTTGGTTCCCAATACGACTCGTCTTCTAACCCGCTCCCGTTCCCTACCTTTTCGCCTCCCTGGAAATCTTCAACATCCTGTGCGATCCGCATCGCCACCAGCAAGTCCTACGGGTCATGCGGTAGACTTGACTCTGTATGTCCTCTTGCAATCCCGCCAGAAAATATCCTAACAGCTGCTCGTCCGGCACCCTCTTCGTTTGACCGCCAATTTCTTGAAGACTTGTAAATACTCTTCCACCGTCCCTATCTATTTCGATGCTGCAAAACGCTCAACAATGGTTCCAAACCTTATCACCAGGGCTTTCTTCAAACCATCCCATGAACGATTATTGGCTTTCTCCTTCTAGGCTTTGAACTAGTAGCTCGCGCTGCCCTCCATGCTTATGTACGCGAGCCACACTTTCTCCTTCTCTACTACTCCTTGAAGCTCGAAAAACCTCTCCGCCTTATTGATCCAGTTTAACGGGTCCAGCCCTTCGAGAGTGGGTAATTCAACCCTCTTCTGCCATTGATTCTGCCCCTCCGGATGTTCGCCACCCACTCTCCCTCCAATATCCTCCCCGCGCCATCGTTGGTTCCCGTTTGTGGAAGCCTGACTTCCATCTGATTGTCCTTCGTTGTTGTGAGCCCGCGCCCCCATCATCCTCATTATTTCTTG